CCAATTACAAGAATAGCACCAATTACTAGAACAGCAGCGATTACAAGAACAGCGATTTAGAAAAACAACGTTAAGAACAATAAACAAAAATAACACTTATATGAACAAAATCAACAATAACAAAACCAGAAATGAGCTTGAACACCTTAAAGGGAACTTGTTCACCTTGTTCAATAGAAAATGCTAGACTAAGTTCATGAAGAACACTGACATAACCCCCATACAGTGAACACCAACACTACACCCGCCAAATGAACACCAAAATAACAGGTCCCCCAATCATAACACGTCACGACTGTTGACGTGTTCACCTTGTTCATCCATAACACGTCAACTCTCACACCATCACATCAAGTCACGATCATTTACATTTGTTCACGATATAGTACTTGTTCCTTTATAATACTGGGACATTTGTAGTGGGGGTTGTAGAGGTCGGGGGGGGGGGAGGGGTTGTAGAGGTGGTTGAGGTGGGGGATGGGGGGTTGTGGAGGGGGAGGAAGCTGGGGGAAGCATTCTTGGGGTACAGCCAAGCAGGTTACTGGGGTTGAGAGGGGGGGAAGGGGGGAGGGATTCTCTTGTGGATTTAAACGTCTGTGTCGTGACGAGTGGGGAGGAGGGGGGGTGTGTGCAGGAGGAGGAAAGGAAAATATGGAGGAAGAAATGTAGGAAAAGATAAAGAAGTGATGGATGGGTGAGAGGAATAAAGGGAGAGAGAAGGGAAGGGAGAGAAGAAGAAGAGGGTCATCAACTGGGGACGTTCCTCTTCACTGGTCATGACCCTGGACTCTGATGACACTGCACTCCTTCACATTCATGCATTAATACACTTGTATTATTAATCCACAAATACACGAGATAAATTATCATGCACTACTGTTTCTCACTCACTACAGGAGATGGTCTTCTGACGTCTCCCTCTCAACTTTCGCCCTAGTGGCCACCGACCTATTCCACGCGCAAGGGATAGGCGTCTCGTGTGGGGTATGTGGGTGGGATTCGTCTGTCGACGCTCGAGTGAACACGGAGCCTCACAGGGAGGTCCGGCACTACCCACCCATTTATGCCTTTGGGGTGCGATTGGCTCCTAAATCGAACTACTTAATGGTTTTTTTAAGAGGGATTACAGAAAAGGGAAGAACATAGGGTGAAAGTCAGCAGAACGGGTATAGGTTATAGTAGGGAAGATGGCAGGGCGGCACTCTAGCGGCAGGTGGCAGGCCGGCCGGCTGGCGCTTTTCAGAAGTCAAACGATCTCCAATCCCTAGTTCCGGCCCCCCCCCCCCATGAAGTGTGACCCAGGAACCATCCAGACGTACCCCTCTGGGTACTCCGGGTATCCTAACAACATGCCCCTTACTGCTGCGTTGGAGAGGGTATGTGGGGTACGGGGAGGGGGGGAGCCGTGCTCAACACCACATTACATTCCCATACACTGTGACCCATTATTACCTTACCTACGATGGGGGGGGGGGGGCATGGGCACGAAGCGACTAGGGGCTTTAAAGACTGGCAGGGGGGAGGGGATCGTGGGTTCAGAAACTACAATAGTTTAGTAAGTAGTGACCTAAACGCGTGGTTTCGGACGCTCAGTTTGCGCCAGAATCGGTTAGGTTAGGTGTACGGAAGATTAGGTTAGGTTAGGTGTACGGAAGGTTAGGTTAGGTGTACGGAAGGTTAGGTTAGGTGTACGGAAGATTAGGTTAGGTTAGATGTACGGAAGATTAGGTTAGGTGTACACAGGTAAACCCAACTCCTCAGTGTACAGACGCTCAGAGTTTACACTGGTTCGTGACTATGTTCAGGACTGAAGTACATTCATTACTGACGGATCTCAAAGGCCATTACGGGCTCACCATAGCCCGTGCTACCTCCAACGTTGTGTTCCCAGTAGCTGAATGTAAACCAGCGGTATTATTCCGGTATCTGAATCGTCAGTGTACAATGACCCCTAACACGGGCCGAGGTCATGCTGTGACCTCTGACCTCTGCTCATCGTGCCAGAGGAAGACTGAGAACGTACGGCACATCACGTTAGAATGGGCGGCCATCTTGCTTTCAGCCTGTCCTCTCACTACCTCGCATTTGTGTACGGGTTCGACCAATGCGTTATAAACGCGACGTATTTTTATAAACTAAAGCACCGTAATAATGACGTTGTGTAGGCCTCGGTCTCTTTGATAAGTTAGGTGGGTTGTTAGGGTTTGTAGCTTCTGGTTAGGATAAACCGTTGCATTTTGTACGGAGTGGCAAGTAGGGGGAACAGTGGATATTTACACGATAAACCACGTTGAAGACGGAATCATGTGGTTTGTTATTACTAATGACCGAATGATCATTAAAGATTTATCTAAGATTCTGCAAACGATTCGTTCCCTTGTTAGGGTCTTCAGTCGAAGCTTATTCATAATTTCTAGTTTTGTTCATCTTCTTCATGTTCAGTAACCATTGTTAGAGGTCAACTGCCTGTGAGTGTTCGGGGCCCCCCCCCCCAAGACCACTCTGCTACTGCTCGTTACACACGACCAGTTGTGTTGGCACCCGTGTAATGTTGCTTGCTGCCGCTGTGGTGGTGTGGCGCTAGTGGCGCGGCATGGCTACCTCGCCCCATCAAACTATATCTGTGCTGTCTGGCCCCCCCGTCTGTCTGTCTGTCTCTCTCTGTCTGTCTCTCTCTGTCTGTCTCTCTCTGTCTGTCTCTCTCTGTCTGTCTCTCTCTGTCTGTCTCTCTCTGTCTGTCTCTCTCTGTCTCTCTCTCTCTGTCTGTCTCTCTCTCTGTCTCTCTCTCTCTCTGTCTGTCTCTCTGTCTCTCTCTCTCTCTGTCTGTCTCTCTCTCTCTGTCTGTCTCTCTCTCTGTCTGTCTGTCTGTCTGTCTGTCTCTCTCTCTGTCTGTCTCTCTCTCTCTCTGTCTCTCTGTCTGTCTCTCTCTCTCTGTCTGTCTCTCTGTCTGTCTCTCTCTGGCTGCATCCTGGGAATGTGTGTGTGTGCTAGAGAGACTTGGAGACAACATGTACATTTACATATAAAAAATATATAATAAAGGAAAATAGGTCGGTAGTCAGTAAATTAGACAATCAACGGTTAGAAAGGCGGAGTCCATGAGCTAAGAACTCAAGCCTGCCGCTGACGAGAACCTCTCTCACTCACGGCTCCCACAACAGGCGAGGACCCTCGTCACCACCACCACCACCACCACCTTGTGGTCGTATTGGGCCACAGAGCATTATCCATTCCGATTTAACACTCGTTTGAAACTGAAGCCATAAAGTTAACAAAAATAGTGATAACCCTCTTACTATACATAGGTCACAAACGCATCATATGCAACAAATGTATAGCGATAAAGCTCCAAATTAATGAAGCCAATTCTTGAACGAAATATATTTTGAATTTATGGTAATGTGTCACGAATGACCTCGTTAATAGATCATCAGAGATTGGCCCCATTATCTATTCAATACCCTCAGACCCTCCGCCATTTGGTGGCAATGAAGTAAAACAAATTTCATCATATCTCCAATCAATTATTTGATTGGAGATTAAAATTTTGGTCTTGAATAAGAACATCATCCGAGGTTCACAAGATCATATTACAAAATATGATAATTTTTTTTTTTATCAAAGTCGACTCATTGTTTAAAATATGGAGTTTCTTAGGATAGTCTGTCGTAGGGAAGGGGGGGGGGGTAGGGGTTGAGGTTGATGAAGGTAGTTAAGAACAAGATAATCATTCATCACTCGAGCTCCGGCCATTAACTTAATGGAAGGTCGTTACAGTAATATGTAGATGTTTGTCTTGTAAAACGATTCCGATATTATAACTTGGTCTCTGTGTATCCCTCAAGTTCTCACCCCTGTGTTTTTGTTTGGTGGATGAACTGTGTGTGTAGGTGGGTGTGTGTGTGGGTGGGTGTGTGATGCCTGGTGTTGGAGAGCTCTTGTGCCGTCAACATCTACTGTTGTTGCTCTCCATCCACATTCCCAAATCTGTAACCCCCATTTGCAGAGATCTGTGATCTGTAACCCCCCCCCCCATTTTTAGAGATCTGTAGCCCCCCCCCATTTTTAGAGATCTGTAGCCCCCCCATTTTTAGAGATCTGTACCCCCCCCCATTTTTAGAGATCTGTAGCCCCCCCCCCCCATTTTTAGAGATCTGTAGCCCCCCCATTTTTAGAGATCTGTAGCCCCCCCCATTTTTAGAGATCGGTAGCCCCCCCATTTTTAGAGATCTGTAGCCCCCCCCCCATTTTTAGAGATCTGTAGCCCCCCCCATTTCCGGAGATGTGTGGCCCATTATCACACCCGTCGCCCCATTCACGTACCTGTGGTTCGGTCGATAATTTATCTCTCCTGGAGGACGATGACTTGTGTAAAAACGGTGACTTGGCTTCTTGAAGACAATCTGTCTGAGGACCTTGTCTTGGCTTCCTCGGGACGATGACTTAAGCCACGATGACCCTAGCTGCTCTAAGTCGATGACTTGGCTGGCTTGGATGGAAGCAACGGAGAGAGATAGTCCGTAGTGGACTAGCCAGCTTGTGTGTGTGTGTGTGTGTGGGGGGGAGGGGGGACTGGTCCGTGTGTGTGTAGGGGGGGGGAAGGGGGCTGGTCGTGAGCATTCGAACCGGTTCACACATAAATGGGGCAGACGTGAAGGGGGGGGGGGAAACATACTGCTTTTACACCTCTCCCCCCCCCCCCTCCTCTCTCTCTCTCCCCCTTCCCCCCTCTCAAGTTTATTTGAACCATGGCCTGGTTGGTAGGTCAGTCATCTCGCACTTCTGCAACCCCCAGTTCGAATCTCAAATGATTCAAATGCACGAAACGTCCCCAAAAAGGTTTAGGTCATATATTACTTTTTATTTCATAACAAACTTGTGTGAATTGTCGATGATTGGAGATGTTGTTATACCTATTGATTGGTTGTATAGCTTATTGATATCTCGTTAATTGACTATAACTGGTTATTTGACGGGTTAATTGATAATTGGCTAATTACCTGATTGGTTGACAGTTTTGGTTCAGCAGCAGGCGTCTCTGGGAGTCTCGGTAATCTGCGGAGGTTTGGTTCAGCAGCAGGCGTCTCTGGGAGTCTCGGTAATCTGCGGAGGTTTGGTTCAGCAGCAGGCGTCTCTGGGAGTCTCGGTAATCTGCGGAGGTTTGGTTCAGCAGCAGGCGTCTCTGGGAGTCTCGGTAATCTGCGGAGGTTTGGTTCAGCAGCAGGCGTCTCTGGGAGTCTCGGTAATCTGCGGAGGTTTGGTTCAGCAGCAGGCGTCTCTGGGAGTCTCGGTAATCTGCGGAGGTTTGGTTCAGCAGCAGGCGTCTCTGGGAGTCTCGGTAATCTGCGGAGGTTTGGTTCAGCAGCAGGCGTCTCTGGGAGTCTCGGTAATCTGCGGAGGTGGATTTGATTAAATGTTACCGGTGTCGGACCATATATTTTCCTGTCCGTCTTTATATATTAACAAACTTTAGGTGCAGAGAGCTTTGTGACGCGGCCCTATTCTATATGGAGGGTTATAGTGTAGATCAGACCACACACTAGAAGGTGAAGGGACGACGACGTTTCGGTCCGTCCTGGACCATTCACAATCGACTTGAGAATGGTCCAAGGACGGACCGAAACGTCGTCGTCGTCCCTTCACCTTCTAGTGTGTGGTCTGGTCAACATACTTTAGCCACGTTATTGTGACTCATCGCCTGCATAGTGTAGATGTAAAGCTAGGTGTGAGTTCATGTAATACCTCTATCGTCAAAGGACGGTTAGTCATACATGGAGTCAGGATAGAACAGGATAGAACATGGGATGCGAGGCCAGGCTGCCTACAAGCCCTCACTAACATCCTCTGAACAGTCACTAACTGTCACTAACACCCCTCTGAACAGAGCACAAGAATGTCTTCATATATTCGTGCAGCCCGTCCTCCAAAAATGGGGAGGTAAATGTAACAGCCCCATAAGTGCAATTATGTACTATGTATGACAGACAGGAAATGTACTTATTACACTTAGTATTAAAACGTACTGTCAATTCGTAGGATGGGTTGGCAGCGTGGGTGTAGGGCGTTGTTTCAGAGCTCAAAGTATCTATCTCCCTAGCCTCAAGCCGGGCTCGGGGGAGTAGAGGAACTCCTAGAACCCTCTCCAGGTATGTTCCAGGCATATCTAATCCATTTGGTCTAAAATCCCGGTTAACAAGGGCACTGACAGATATTGTGGTGGAGTGCGTCCTAGCTCTTGTTCACATATGTTGGGGGATTTAAACACCTGTAGTTACATGCTATAACTATCAATATACCAACCCAATTATACCAATTAGTGCCAACTGGTCACCTGTTAGTGTCACCGGCTGTTGGGATGGTTTCTGTACGGTCTCGATTCTAAATATAATCATAAATTTATACTCGTGCTTTCTGTCATTTGAGTAACATTGATAGCTTTTCTGTTAACACACGTTTCTGGAAAATAGTTCAGGTTTTGACAAGACATTCCAATACTTCGGTCTGGCTCAAATTTCAGGTTCATCTCGTGCAGCTTCACCTGCCTTGTCAGCATCATGATGCTGGAACACACCTGTGTGAGACACTGTCCCATCTTGCAACACTCTGGGCAAAAAAAACGAACAGTTTACAATAAAGGAAAAAAATGAATAATTATCTAAATTTGCCCGTAAAGCATCTAAATATTTTATCAAGTGATACTCGATGAAAATCCTCTTCTTTCGTAGAGTATCATTTATATAAATAATATATAAATATATTTTTATATATTTGGGTGAGGAGTTTTTAGTTATATATGATTAATATATATTTATAAAACCAAGTATACCAAGTTTGTGTATTAAATGAGTACAGGTGATTGGTTGCTTCCTAATTGCACACTGGATGGTTGTGGATTGTACCGTCCAATCCCACCCATTGGAAGACCTGGGGGGGGGGGGTTGCACAATCAACCCCCCATTCTCACAGGATGGGGTGTCTCGGGGGGGGGGGGGCCCTAGCCCCCCCTACTTCTGGGGGCCCTAGCCCCCCCTACTTCTGGGGGCCCTAGCCCCCCCTACTTCTGGGGGCCCTAGCCCCCCCTACTTCTGGGGGCCCTAGCCCCCCCCCCTACTACTGGGGGCCCTAGCCCCCCCCCCCTACTTCTGGGGGCTGCGTCTGATATTCATAATAAAGAAATTAAACTAAATTCTGCAGGTTTGTTGACCGGTTGGTTAACTGATTGGTTTTAAATCGCCCCAAAAAATCGGCAAAATTGATTGAGCAGATCGATGTATTTCAAGGTTCTAAGTTGTAATTTTTTGAATCGCTTTCAACATATTATAAACGCATCAACACGCACTTGTAGTCAAAATAATTATAACTAATTTGAGTAAATTTTTTGTTCATTTCACGTGCTTTATTTTTTTAGGGAAAATCATGACTGGGGCGTTGAAGAACATATATATATAAAAACAAGAACACGGAGGAATTAAGAACAAAAACTACCCCCAGAGAATGTTTGAAACGCAGACTTCTGCGAGCTAAGAATTTCGCTATATTTCTCGAAAGTCATGGCAGCTTCCAGACCAAGTTTCCGATGTCCGAAGAAATGCGGAAAAAGTTCATCGCAACTGTGGTATGTCGGGTCAAGTGATGAGTCGGGTATAGAGGATAATAATTCCCCCCCCCTCCCCCCCCCCCACCATTTCAATGGTAATGAAGAACAGATTTTAAAGAATATCAAGGTGGAAAAAATACACAATTCTCCACATTTACCAAAAAAATAAAATCTTATCTATCAAATACAGAACAATAATTTTGTGTGTTTTACCCGCGGCCTGGTCGACGACCGGGCCGCGGGGACACTAAGCCCCGGAAGCACCTCAAGGTAGGTAACCTCAAGGTAGCCACTAAAGACCTAATTACTTGGAGAAATACTGTTCGGATATTTATACATAGACGTTACTTAAATCTTACATTGGAATACCGCCATGTATATAATTATTAGTTCCCCCCCCCCCCCCCGGAAGAGGTTTACAGGATAACTGTCTTAGTTTCCAGCACGTGAGACTTGCCAGACGCAATACAAAAGTGACGTACCACCAAATACGTCGAGAAATGCGTTAAAGGCATACATTAAAAAAATGCGTTAAATGGCCCTTAGGAGCGAGCGAGAGAGAGAGAGGAGAGCTATTGACCAAATTGATGACCCATGAGACCTCTCCCGCAGGGACCCCCTCGCCCGCACAAACAGTGCCAACATAGAGAGGGAAACATACACAGTGCAGTGCCAACATAGAGGGAAACATACACAGTGCAGTGCCAACATACACCGAGGGGAACATACACAGTGCAGTGCCACATACACCGAGGGGAAACATACACAGTGCAGTGCCAACATACACCGAGAGAAACATACAGAGGGCACTGCTAACTACCAGCATACAAGAGCAAGGATGATACAATGTAATCATACGGAGGAAGCTCTAAGCCAGCCTGAGTGACCAGACAATATTAACCTATAGTAAGAGCTTTAGTAGCATAGCGTCAGCTTGGGTTGAGGGGGCGCACTGGGTGCTCCTACGGGAGGGGGCGCAGACCCCTAACCCGGACCTATATACTCCCAGGGTATATTATGCATTATACCCCAGGGCTATAAATAAATAAATAATAAATATGTTTATTCAGGTAAGGTACATACATACAAGTGATGTTACATTAATGGATTGATAGATAGAGCTAGTACATACAATGCCTAAAGCCACTATTACGCAATGCGTTTCGTGCAACAAAGCCCTATATACGCAGCCCTAGTCAAGTATTCATCAAGCATTTACGCAGCCACTTGCGTAACCTGTACATCTCAATCATAGCGGCCTTATTTCCAGATATTAAACAGCTAGGAAAGGTCACAAGCTATTATTGTTGGTTGTACAAGTTATTATTGTACAACCTCGTAGAGCTTCAGAGCTCATAAACAATATAATGATTATTGAAAGATGTAGAGGTTTCGTTAGGGGTTGCTCGCTGTGACTGTGAGAGACGGGCAATTGTGACACACCTTCACGTATTGAACAGGTTTCTGGCGGGAATAGCTTGATCAGCCCGGCTGTGATGACTGTGTGCGCGGGCTCTCGGAGACTACCAGCCTCACAGATGTAGTCGCCGGGACAGGCTGGCCACAGACCGGGCCGCGGGAGTAGAACAACTCTCGAAATCATCAACGGGTAAACTAGGAGAAATTGAGATTCTAAGGCCAGACAACCCTGCAAAGTATCTGAAAATAATAATAATTTAGATCCAGCGCGCGTGCGGGCACAGGGCAGAGCGCAGGTGGACAGCACACCGTACACGTAATCCTGTGAACCGGGGTTCGATTCCCGGAGCCGGCGAGGAACAAAATTGGCAGTTTTTCACCCTGATGCCACCGATACCTAGCAGTAAATAGGTACCTGTGAGTTAGACAACTGTTACGGAGCTGTTTCCTGTATGTGTGTGAGGGTGGGGGGGGGGGGGGGGGACGGAAGTTAGTAACAGTTGATTAACAGTCGAGAGGCGGGACCAAAGAGCCAGAGCTGAGCCTCCGCAAGCACAACTAGGCTAGTACACACACACACACACACACACACACACACACACACACACACACACACACACCACACACACACACACACACACCGGTGTTAACGCACCATCTCGCCTCTGTATGCAAATGAGGAGAGGACTCGCAAAGGTGTTTATGTTGAGTTTACCCTCCCCCACCTCCCCTTGTTTTCGCATTTACCTGGTCGTTTAGATCTGGCGCGAAGATGTGGGAGGAGAGACGGGCAGACTGATGGGGAGAAATGGGATTGAGAGAGAGAGAGAGAGAGAGACACACACACACACACACACACACACACACACACACACACACACACACACACACACACACACACACACACACACACACACAGAGTTGCTCTGCCTCAGCCAGCATGACTCTGGTGCTCTATCTTTTCTCCCCTTTATTATACATCATGTCTTTTTTTTTTTTTTTTTTTGTTAATACCTCTGACCTCGTCCCACCACAATCACCATCACGGCCACCCTATCACCACCATCATCATCACCACCATCACCACCACAACTCGCCCCCATCACGGCCATCAATAATATTTAAAATCCGATGGTTAAAATGATCATCGGGGGTTTTGAAATGGAAACAAAATGGTTACTAGAGTTTAACCCCCAACACGTGTAAGGTAGTGAAGATATGAAACGGGAGAAAGCAGACCAGAAGGAATGTACACAGGAATTGGAAAGATTTTGAAGCGGACATAATCCCTGCTCTACCACCAGAGGCACACATCATCATCATGTATAAGCATATAGAATGCTATCGCACACTAGAATGGCAGTAATACATTTAAATATACACTCAGGCCAAGCTATACACCTTCTAAGTGACACCAGCACAGTACAAGAGTATGCATCGACAGCTTGCAATTCGTAACTCGAGGAGCAAAAAAGCGGAATTTATGATGTGCAGAGTTGCAAGGGGACCCGAGCCGGAACTAAGAAGGCTAAGCTGGGAGGATAGGTTAAGGGCACCAAATCTTAACAAAGCAGAGGGGGATATGATCACGATATAAAAGATACTGAGGGGATTAGGAAAAAAATAGACAATGAGGCCTGTTTAAATTGAGAGCAAGAATAACGAGAGGACATAAGTATAGATGCTGGGAACAGGAAAATTAGTAGAAAGTGTAAGGAAATACTCTTATCCTTAATGATAGGTCAACAGGTGGAATGCACTACCTTTATCCACAATTAAAAAAAATAATTGGACAAGGCATTCGAATAAGATAAGTTTAAACACGTCAGGTACTTGTTCTCCATTTATCATCGTGTTTGATTCCCTCGTGTTGTGAAAGGTCTTAGTTTCATCATCTTCTGGTGTGTGTGGGTTTGGTCCCCTCTCATTATGCCTTTGTTATCGTCCCTTCCCCTTATTATGTCTTGTAACCTACACACATTCTTCTCCTTTCTGAGACTTGTGTTCTTCAGGTGTTCTACTTGTCTCAGGGTAGAACATGAGAGAGAGAACACGGAGCCCATCACTCCTGGCCGTGTTTACTTTCTTGTCATGGGGTGACCTTGTTCATGCTTCCTCCTCTCTCCTGTGCTCCTTAGTCTTCCTGGTGAGGCTGCTTCTCTCTCTCTGTCTCTCTCTCTCTCTCTCTCTCTCTCTCTCTCTCTCTCTCTCTCTCTCTCTCTCTCTCTCTCTCTCTCTCTCTCTCTCTCTCTCTCTCTCTCTCTCTCTCTCTCTCTCTCTCTCTCTCTCTCTCTCTCTCTCTCTCTCTCTCTCTGTCTCTCTCTCTCTCTCTCTCTCTGTCTCTCTCTCTCTCTCTCTCTGTCTCTCTCTCTCTCTCTCTCTCTCTCTCTCTCTCTCTCTCTCTCTCTCTCTCTCTCTCTCTCTCTCTCCTGTCTCTCTCTCTCTCTCTCTCTCTCTCTCTCTCTCTCTCTCTGTCTGACTCTCTCTCTCTCTCGCTGGCGTCTCTCTCTCTCTCTCTCTCTCTCTCTCTCATCTCTCTC